TAGTTTTAGAAAAATAAAAGAAGAAAAGAGAGCGAAAATATAAAGAAAATCGGAATTGGGCCTCTTCTTCAATTTCAAACCACAAGCCCAAAAAATTGCCCAACCTTCCCCATGACCCGGTCCATTCTAAACTGGGTCGACTCGGTCCGCCCCATAACTAAACCATCCGCCCAACCCCTCCCATTTTTCATTTTTTCTTGTTGAAACCCAAAAACAAAAACCCTAAAAAACCTAAGAGATCCGCCCCTCCCTCTTTCTTTCTTCATCTTCCCAAAGCTCCAAACCTTCCAACCATGGCTGCCCAATGTCGACACAGCCGGACGCACCAACGAACTCCATCTTCTCCAACGAAAACTAGCAGCTCCAACAAACTCCATCTTCTCCACACCCTTAGTTTCTTATCTTCTTAACCTAGGAGACGCACCAACAGACCCTCCGTTCTTCAACCTTCGAGTTCACCAGAAAAAAGGGACGATAACTGTTAAAAACGAACCAAAGAGAAGTCAGCCATCGTCGCACCCCACCAGAAGATGCTGAAAACCAGTAGCGACAGCCACCTAGCCCGCCGGAAAAACCCTCGACCAACGGAAGAGAAACCCCATCGCGGCCTGCTTCATATTTTTCCTCGACGAGCCGCTACTGCTCTTGTTTCTGCTTCATCTTCCTCATCATGATGCTCATCGCCATCACTGTTTTCACGCAGCTGCTACTGCTGCTCACGCAGCTGCTATTGCTTCAGTTTTCTTCTTTACCTCCAGCTGCTGCTGCTTCGTTGTTCAACTTCAAGCCCTCGAGATGCCTCGTCCAGCTTCTGCCCCATCGTTCATGGCTGAAAGTCCACCATGACAGCCCAGCAGCCCACGACAACCCAAGCCATGGCTACCCCGTCACAGTCATCATTCACCTTCAGTCCCGCCTCATCGTCGTAGCCCGTAGTTTGTTTGATCTATTGGTCTACGGATTGTTAAAGGCTATTAAGGTCTGTCTCATCTCCCTTTCTCATTTTTAGGATCTATATGCGAGTGAGATAAGAGCCGCTAAAAATCTATTTAAATGTTATGGTTCAAGGAATTCGAATTTCTTCTTAGTTGAATCTGGGTTGTAAAAAAAATTAGATTTTTGTTTAATCGGATTTGAGTTTGATTGTTTTTTCATTCGTGATTATTAGTTGTAAAATGTATAGTATCTTTGCTAATATTGAGTTGGTTCGGATGATTTCATTTTGTGTGATGTTTGGTTTCCTTTCTTGTCAATTGTTCATCATTTTCTTGCATATGAAGTTAGTTTGTTTTCATTCAGTATGTTGACAGTGTTTAGGCTTAATCTAGAAGTGTGTTAGTTTAGTCACGCAATATTTATTTTGATGATATTTGGTCTGAATCAAGTTTCATAATTTAAGTTGTGATTTGAATTTGTTGAATCTTTTCATTTATGTTCATACTTTGTTTGATTGATCTTGAATCCGAAATTAGTATAGTTTGACCTTCTTGATTGTTGATTATCATTTTTTTGATTATTTCTTCAGTTTGCTTCATGATTTTGTTTAGTTTTAATATAGGAATTGTTGGTTGTAAAAGTGTTTGATTTTAAGTTCAAATAATTATTGAATTTAGAAATCTGAACATACTTGTTTGTTGTTGTTGTTGTTGAATCTGAAAGTAGGTTTGTTTGTTGCTAAAAATATTGTTCAATCAAACTTTTAGTTGTTTTTTGTTGTTCAATTTGTGTTCATGTGATATTGTTGTTGTGTTGTTCATCCGTGTTCATATGATTTGTTGTTTGAATTTGTGTAGAAATTGGTCATATTGGCTATATTTTGGTTGAGTTTGATTAATTGATTTGTTATAGTTGATGGGGGTAGTTTGGTAAATTGCAGTACATTCGAGGGTAAAATGGTAATTGCAATAAGATCGGAGGGGTAGTTTGGTAATTAAACATTTTGTAATTCTTTATGTTAAGCATGAAGGACAAAATGTATTGGGGTGTGGGTGATATAGTTGTTTATTATAAATGGGGGACAAGGCAAAATGCAGTGGAGGGGAATATGGTAATTGTTTATGGTAGACATAGGGGACAAGATGTAATGGGTTGGTTTGATATATTAGTTTAATGTATTGGGGGATGAGTGAGAAGATAATGGGTTTGGTAGGAGAAAGTGGTGGATTTTAATTGATTAAAAGGTTTGGGATGGGAAATAAATAGAGAAGTCTTGAATCAGATTTTGGAGGGAGATAAGACAGAGAATAAGAAAAAAACGGACAGATAGAGAGAGAGAGAGAGAAAAAAAAAGAGCTGAATATTTAAGAGAGAAAGAAAAATTCCAAAAAATATTAAAGTTTTCAAATAAAAAAAAACTAAAAAAGAATCTTCTGCTTTCTTTCATTGTTTGAAATCAGCATTAATTGTTGTTGTTTCATCAAAGCTTGAAGCTTTTGTTTTTGGTATTACTGCTCCACTGGTTTGCAAACTCTGTTCCTGGGTTGTTAATATTGCTGTGCTGTATTGTTATTACTGCTGCTGATTCTCATCTTCATTTTCTTTTGCTTCCAATATCAGGTACACAACTGACACGCTGGTTGTTGTAATCCGAAATATGAAGCATGAATACGAAAAATGAAGAGTTGAAATTCTAAATTTGCTTTAATTATATTCTGAATTATATTTGTATGTACAAATTATTTAGCTTGCAAAAATCAGAATCATGTAGCTATCTAATACATATAGTGGAACATCCGACGATAGCTTAACAGATGAACTATCTACATATATTGCCTAAAAATAAATAAATGGTGCAGTAACTCCGTCGAGTCAAAAATCAAACGAATAGGCCATCTAGTAGGAACTTGGTAGAAATATTGTTTAGTTAAATAATATTGGTTAATTTCAGCATGTAAATGGTCTAGGATTAAAATTAGATTGCTAAGTTTTTTTTTTATTTGACAAACTGAGAACATGCCTAGTATAATGTAACTAGGTAATAACATGTAAATAAATTAAGATATTTTATCTTTTATTTTGTAGAGACAAATTTCAATAGAAAAATTTAGGCATTTTAGGAATGTCCTTTAAAAAAATAAAATGAGATGAGCCTCGCCCAATAAAATGCACCAATTGCGGGGCCCTCAATAAATGTTTAATTAAGTATTTAGAATTCGGGATGGACTGTTTAGTGAATTCCACGGTCTTACCCATAAATAATAATACGCTAATCGCTTTAGGCACGATTTTAATAATAATACATTCTTAAACACGGGTGCGCATTTATGCGACCCAAATCCAAATCCCAAAACATTGAATAAAAATACGTTCCGGATCGCGGGTGCATTTTATGTGACGCAATCCAAAGACATGTTTTTAAACGATGTTCACATTCTTTTAAAAATAATAATAACAATTATGAAAGCGGTAAAAAGATAAAATTTGCACATAAGTTCATATTTGTATAAAATCAGATAATCAAGCCGAATATAACAGTTGAGCGACCGTGCTAGAACCACGGAACTCGGGAATGCCTAACACCTTCTCCCGGGTTAACAGAATTCCTTATCCTGATTTTTGGTTCGCGGACTGTAATACAGAGTCATTCTTTTCCTCGGTTCGGGATTAAAATAGGTGACTTGGGACACCCTAAATCTCCCAAGTGGCGACTCTGAAATAAATAAATAAATCCCCTTTCGATTGTCCTTTAATTGGAAAAACTCCTTTTACCCTCGCGGGGGCGGAAAAAGGAGGTGTGACAAAGGTCCCTACCGAGTTTCTGCTATATCGATAAAGGATCGTACAAGTTGGAAAATCAAGATGGAGTCAAATTGCCCAGTAATTGGAATGTGACTCACCTCAAAAGGTATTACTGCAGATGGATCCTATCAATACTGAAAGTATGTGCTGCACTCTTTTTTCCTTTAACCAATTTTTGTCTCGATCAGGTTTTTTTGGCCAGGTCTTTAACGAGGCAGCAATGGAAAGTATACTACGAAAGAAACTCCAACTACAAGATTAAGACCTTTAAATGATAAGGCATTGAAAGATAAATCGCTATGGGATGGTTAAATAATCTTTAGTTCGATGGCAAGTTCCTAATAAGAAGCAAAACTTGCCATCAAACCAAAGACTACTTAAGCGTTCACGAGTTTTTTCCACAAATGAAACAAGACCTCCAGTGTTCTAATTCACATACTTCGCATTCGAACACTAGGGGAGAATAGTATAAGATATGACAACAAGAATGCCATAAAAATTGGGGACTGTGAGAACCAGGAACAATAATGTCTCCTCGGGATCGAGGGCTGCACGACTAGCCCGTAGAAATAAGCTGTACAAGTTTTCCGCATGTAAAATTCCACAAAATTTGGGGACTTCAAGAACCAGGAACAATAATGTCTCATCGGAACCGGGGACTGCATGACCAACCCGTAAAAATAAGTTGTATAAGTTTACCACATGTATTGGCAATTTCTTTTTTCTTTTAATAAACAAACACTTATGTACTTTTAAAGATCGAAGGAATAAAATAAGGTCCTTTTATTTTTATCTTGTTTCTTGTCCAAACGATGAGTTGATTTTATCATTTGAAAGTTAACAAAAAACTTCAAATGCTTGTGCCAGAATGAATAGGAGACGTCCTCTTCAAGAGTACTGTAAACATAAAAGGTCTCTCTCTTATAAAACCCTCAAAGTAAAGGGTTGATTCCAGAAGAATTTATGCCCAGAATCAGAAGCTATCAGATAAAACTATGACCATAGCTTTAACTAATTCAACATAAAGAGAATGTATTTTGCACAACACTCAAGCAAAATTATTCTTTATTTATCGAAGTGCCAAACCTGGTGAAAAGTTTGACATAATTAAAAAGTATAAAAAATGAAAGAAAAGGAAGAAAAAATCTAAGCATTATCACCACCGGAGCCCGAAAGGAGAGAGAGATCTATGCCCCTCGGTGAAAGAAGGCGGTTCAGCTGCCGGTTCAGGGGATGAACCTTCATAATCATCATCTTATTCAACCTCTCCTTCAGTTCTCGAATACTCAAAATCGGTGCTCGAAGATTCGGTTGCAGCGGGCCGAGTAGGGAGACGTTTTCGGGCAGTTAGCTCTAATTCTCGGGCCTTAACAATGCCCGCTTTGGCCTCTTCCAAGATTTTGCTTCTCATATGATACATAACGCTCTCAAATACGAGGGAATCCTCTTGGTACTAGAGCTTTTTCTTAAGTCTTTCAACTTCGGACTGAAGACCGTCCCTCTCTAATCTAATAGCACCGAGGCTAGTATAAAGATCATGAGTTGTAGATAGATGAATCCGATTTTGATCCATTATCTTCTTAAATCTATCTTCTATTTTGGCCCTCTTTTCCTCGATATCATTGTCCTCCTCGGTTTTAGAGCTCAAGGTTGCCTTCAAGAGATTCACTTGTTTCTTGGAGGTAGACTCGCGTTCGACAGTAGCAAGCACAGTATCTTGAAGCTCAACCCACTTAGCCTTAGCCACCTGGAGCTGTGCATGCAATTGAGTGGTTTCTTGGCTGTGGGTCATCACTTCTGTTCACTTTGCTGCAACCGAACCTCAAGCTCGCCCGCCTCAATAGCTTTTGCCTCCAACACTGGGATGCCCGCTGCAAGTTGGTCCCTCTCGGCCAACAGGTGATCCCATTCGGAGGTGAGTACTTACTTATCGAGGATCAATTTTTGCAGGCCCTCGGAAGCAAGGAAGTTAGCCTGTAAAAACGAATATCAAGATTAGAAATCCCGTTACAGCAAATAAACAAAAAACAAGTGATAAAAAAGTAAGTACGGTGTCGGTTCCGTATTATGCATAACATTATTCAACAACTACTCTCCCGAAAGGGAGCGTATTTTCTTCCTATATTTCTCTGAAGCTAGTGGCTTCAGGTAGTTTGCAAGCTCCACCAGCTTGGATAACAGATGGAACTCCTTCAAAATCGAAAGAGTGGCACTCCTCCTCCCTCGGGGATCCGGGGAAGGGGTGAGTAATTGTAACGACCCAACTGGTCATTTTGAACAATTGCATCTAGTTCAGTAGTTTGAGATCACTAGCAGCTTCACATTATGCACATCGACTTGTGTGCATGGTTGGATTCAGTTTCCGGATGAATCGGAGTCGAATTGGAAGAAAGAATATAGTTTTGGAAGCTTAAGCGGAGAGAATTTGACCTAAATTTGACTTTTGAGTAAATGGCTACGAAATAAGTTTTGGATGATGTCAGTAGCTTTTTAAGGTGATTTTGGACTTGGGCATGTGTTCGGATTTGGATTTGGAGACCCGTAGGGTAATTTGAGGCCTTTCGGTGAAAGTTGGAAAAGTTAAAGTTTGAAAAAATGGAGAGGGTTGACCGAGAGTTGACTTTTATGATATCGGAGTCGGAATAGAATTTTGGGAGTTGGAGTAGGTTTCTGATGTCATTTGTGACTTGTGTGAAAAATTTGAGGTCAATGGGACTTGGTTTGGTTGGTTTCAGCATCAGTTGTAGGATTCTTAAAATTTCAAGTTCTTTAGGTTTGGATGGGAGGGTGATTTGTGGTTTTAGAGTTTTTTGATGTGATTTGAGAGTGGGTCTAAGTTCATATGATGTTATGGGATGTGTTGGTACATTTGATTGAGGTTCCGGGGGCCTCAGATGAGTTTCAGGGTGAGTTTTGAGCGAGTTTGGACATTTCGACACTCGGAAGTTGTTCCGGATCGTGGGGAGACCGCTTTCAGCGGTGATATTTTACTACAGCAGTGGAATTTTCACTGTCAGCTGAAATCTGTCTGTGGCCGTGGTCATGAAGAATCTGCAGGTTCATTGGTGCGACTTCGAAAGCCTATATCGTTTGATCTACAAAGAATTTTGAGATGATTCAAAAATGAAAGTTGTGGCCCTTCGTGTGTAATTTCTAGAAAGGTAAAGAAATAATCATTTGGATATCTGTAGAGAATGTTATGGCCAAAATACTAAGGCCTGTCTGTGCAGCCACCAGAACCGTGCTACTTTTTCGCGACCGCGGAGGGGTGAGCGCTGCAGCGGTGATTTTTTGTGGTCAGCGGTGATGGGAATCCAAGAGGTGCATTATAAATACGAGATTTAGGGGTTTATTTCATATTTTGACCTAGAGATCTCGGATCTTGGCGATTTTTCGAAGGGTTTTCAAGAACATCATCGGGGTAAGTGATTCTAACTCGGATTTGGCTAAAATACATGAATCTATCAATGAATTCATCATTTGATTCGTGATTTGGGATGGAATTTGGGGAAAATTTGTTAAGTTTTTCAAAAATGTGAAATGATGATTTGAATGACCAAATGATATCAGAATTAGATAATTTTTGTATGAGTGAACTCATAGCGGAATGGGTGTTCGATTTTTATAAATTTTGTCGGGCTCCGAGGTGCAGGCCCGGGGTGTTGACTTTTGATGACTTTTTGCAAATTGTATAAGAATCATAGTTGTGTTAATTGAAATTGTTTTCTCTTGTATTGTTTGAAGTATTCAAGTTATATTTGGTTAGATTTGAGCCGTCCGGAGGTCTTTTCACCAGAGAACTGCATTTTAGAGTATCGGTTTGTCGTCTTTGAAGTATCTAGCCTAACCTTGTGGGGGGGA